CTCATCTTCGCCCTCTGCCTATCCACTCCTCTCACTTTCTTCTTTGCCCATTCCTCTTTGCTTCTCCTCCCTCTTCTTTCTACCCTTTCTTTTCCTTCCCTTCCTTCATCTCCTATTCCTCTCTTCTCCTTCCTCTTTCTTCTTCACTCGTCTCTCCTTCCCCCTTTTCTTCACGCCATTAGAAACCCTCGCAATCTACTGCGGTTATCTCACCTCCTCTTTGGGGAATTTTATCATTCTCCTCCTCCTCTTCCTCCCCCTCTTCTCTTTCCATTAGGAAAGATTTCATTTTCCCTTCTCCCTCACGCCTTTTCGCGTCATTTCCTCCCTTCATTCGTCTACTTTCCCTTCTGTCTCCTGTTTTCCCCTTCTCTCCTCCTTTTCTCCTCTCTCATTTCCATCTTCTTCCCCCTTCTCCTTTCTACCGCTGTCTCTTTCCCCTCCCTCTCCCCTTTCCCTCATTTTCACCCGTTCGCTTTGTTACCTCTCCTGCTCTTTCCCCCTTCCTCCCTCCTTCCCATCCTCGCTTTCCTTCAGTCTCAATTCTGCGCTAGTCTCAATTATCTCTTTTCCTTTCCTCTCCTCCCTCTCCATCTCTTTTCTCTTCCTCCCTTATCAACGCCACTAACCATTATTTTTTCCCCTCCTCCCTTTTCGCTTCCTACGTCATCAACACCTATCTTCTTTCCTCCCTTCCCTCTCTCCCCTTTTCCTCTCATCCCTCTCCCTTCCTCCCTCATCAACACCCTTTTCCTTTCCTATCCTCTCTCCCCATCCCCTTCCTCTTCCTCCCTTATCAACATCACTAACCATTCCTCTTTTCCCCCTCCTCCCTTCCCTACATCCCTTATCCCTTCTTCCCTCACCAACACCTATCTTCTCTCCTCCCTTCCCTCTCTCCCCTTCTCCTCATCCCTTTCCCCTCCCTCCCTCCTCAACATCCCTCCCCTTCCTCCCCCTTCCTCCCCACCTCTGTAATTCCTTCTGGAGGGGACAAGCGACTCATAAATATGGAATACATTGGGCGGAATAATTCACTGAACGGATTATTATTCTCCTGTCTGGGACTTGTTACTGTCGTCTGCCTTTCTCTATTTTGGTCTGTCTGTCCTTTTATGGCATTATCATTATTTATTTCGTCGTTTAGTCGGCTGTTAGTATCGCGTTTAAAAGGGGGTTATTGTCTGTTACTCATCTGACATGTACTAACGTCGTCTCGTTAATTATACGCCACAGGAGGTCCTCATTTAACAGGACGATGACTCCAGCCGTCCCTGTGTGTGTGTGTGTGTGTGTGTGTGTGTGTGTGTATAGTTCTTCTCAATTAAGGCAATTTAATGGTTGTTCCTGTTAAACTTAAATGTCTCTGGAATCTTGTCATTTCACCACATGTAGGTTGGAAGTTTAGAGGCAAAATGACCATAATTACACATGTTACTCCTCTCCTTTGTGAAATGCGATATTACTGTGAATACGAATTGCATAGTTCTTTTCCCATTTGATATGTGGCATTCCTGCGAATATCTACTTTATAAACACATACTTCTTTCATATATTTGATGTAATTTACTACACTGTGATGACTGATACTATATAAAGACACGGTGTACGTTACGTTTATCATTTATTTACCATTGTTCATATTGACTTGCCTTTAAAGTTGAGAAAATCTAAAGACGATATTAAATCTTACTTCATGATAATTTTCATGTTTATTACTCCCATCTCCAGTATATCGTGCACTGTAGCTGCGCCATATTTTAGGTCGATTTGAATATGGAATATGAAAAGTTCCACAGTATTTTGTAAAGGCTTCATCTTTATTGAATATTTTTAATGGACTCTCCGGCATATACATTCTGTATGAAAATCTGATAACTGGTATTGACAATATTCACTCGTGTGTCTATTATATAACAGTCTCAGATGACATACTGAAATAGTTTACTGTTAAGGATAGGTACTTTGACTTTTTACTCTTTACTGTATATTTTGCTTATATATATATATATATATATATATATATATATATATATATATATATATATATATATATATATATATATATATATATATATACATATATATATATATATATATATATATATATATATATATATATATATATATATACATATATATATATATATATATATATATATATATATATATATATATATATATATATATATATATATATGTGTGTGTGTGTGTGTGTGTGTGTGTGTGTGTGGGGATGTGTGGAATATGGAGGCTTAATAAGTAAAAAAAAAGTACATTACAAAAATAATCGTCCATAAAAGACATAAAATAATACGCCAAATAATAATAACGAAATAAAATAGATAGAAACTATCGAAAAGAAAAGAAAAGAATAGAAAGTATGGGGGGGGGATGGGGAAGGGGGGACTTGAACTGGGTCTTGTTAATCCTTTCAACAACCTTTTGGAAAAGTTGCTAAACCACTTGAGCGATTCCTCTTGAGGGGGAGATTCACAGA